TGAGTTCAAGTCCTGGATATCCTTGTTAATTTTCTACCTGGTTGATCTTTCTAATATTGACAATGGGGTGTTAAAGTCTCCCACTATTATTGTGTGGGAGTATAAGTCTCTTTGTAAGTCATTAAGAACTTGCCTTATGTCTCTGGGTGCTCCTGTATTGGGTGCACATATATTTAGGATCATTAGCTCTTCTTGTTGCATTGATCCTTTTACCATTATGTAATGTCCTTCTTGTCTCTTTTGTTGCTTTAAAGTCTATTTTATCAGAGATGACACTTGCAACTCCTGTTTTTTGTTTTTTGTTTTCTCTCCATTTGCTTGGTAAATCTTCCTCCATTCCTTTATTTTGAGCCTGTGTGTATCCTTGCATGTGAGAGGGTTTCCGGGATACAGCACACTGATGGGTTTTGGCTTTTTATTCAATTTGCCAGTCTGTGTCTTTTGATTGGGGCGTTTAGTCCATTTACATTTAGGGTTAATATTGTTATGCGTGAATTTGGTACTGCCATTTTGATGCTAGCTGGCTGTTTTGGCCATTAGTCGATGCAGATTCTTCATTGTGTTGATGCTCTTTACCATTTGGTATGTTTTTGGAGTGGCTGGTACTGGCTGTTTCTTTCTATGTGTAGAGCCTCTTTCAGGAGCTCTTGTAAAGCAGGCCTGGTGGTGATGAAATCTCTGAGTACTTGCTTGTTCGCAAAAGATTTTATTTTTCCTTCACTTATGAAGCTTAGTTTGGCTGGATATGAAATTCTGGGTTGAAAGTTCTTTTCTTTAAGGATGTTGAATATCGGCCCCCACTCTCTTCTGGCTTGTAGGGTTTCTGCTGAGAGATCTTCTGTGAGTCTGATGGGCTTCCCTTTGTGGGTAACCTGACCTTTCTCTCTGGCTGCCCTTAGTATTTTCTCCTTCATTTCAACCGTGGTGAATCTGATGATTATGTGCCTTGGGTTACTCTTCTTGAGGAATATCTTTGTGGTGTGCTCTGTATTTCCTGGATTTGAATATTGTCCTGCCTTGCTAGGTTGGGAAAGTTTTCCTGGATAATATCCTGAAGAGTGTTTTCCAGCTTGGATTCATTCTCTTCATCACATTCAGGTACACCTATCAAACGTAGATTAGGTCTTTTCACATAGTCCCACATTTCTTGGAGACTTGTTCATTCCTTTTTACCCTTTTTTCTCTAATGCTGCCTTCTCGTTTTATTTCATTGAGTTGATCTTCGACCTCTGATATGCTTTCTTCTGCTTGGTCAATTTGGCTGTTGAAACTTTTGCATGCTTCGTGAAGTTCTTGTGTTGTGTTTTTAAGCTCCATCAATTCACTTATATTCCTCTCTAAGTTGTCCATTCTCATTAGCATTTTGTCAAATCTTTTTTCAAGGTTCCTAGTTTCTTTGCATTGGGTTAGAACATGTTCTTTTAGCTCACAGAAGTTTCTTATTACCCATCTTCTGAAGCCTGATTCTGTCATTTCATCACCCTCATTCTCCATCCAGCCTTGTTCCCTTGCTGTTAAGGAGTTGTGATCCCTTGTAGGAGGAGAGGTGTTCTGGTTTTGGGTGTTTTCATCCTTTTTGTACTGGTTTCTGTCCATCTTTACGGATTTATCTCCCTGTTGTCTTTGTAGTTGCTGACTTTCAGATTGGGTCTCTGAGTGGACCTTCTGTTTGTTGATGATGAAGTTATTTCTGTTTCTTAGTTTTCCTTCTAACAGTCTGGCCCCTCTGCTGTAGGACTGCTGAGGTCCACTCCAGGCCCTGCTTGCCTGGGGATCATCTGCAGCAGCTGCAGAACAGTAAGGGTTGTTACCAGTTTCTTCTTCTGCTGTCTTTATCCCAGAAGGATACCTGCCAAATGTCAGTCTGATCTCTCCTTTATGAGGTGACTCTTTGGGTATACAGGGGTCAGGGAGCTGCTTGAGGAGACAATCTGTCCTTTACTGGAGCTCAAGTGCTGAGCTGTGAGCTCCGTTGTTCATTTAGAGTGGCTGGGCAGGTACGTTTAGGTCTGCTACAGTAGAACTCATAATCCCCTTTTCTTCCCCAGTTGCTCTGTCCCAGGGAGTTAGGGCTTTATTTATGAGTTTCCGTTGTGCTGCTGCCTTTTTTTTTTCAGGGCTTCCCTGCCCAGCAAGGAGGCAGCCTAGTCACTATCTGCCTGCAGAGGCTTTGCGAGCTGCTGTGGGCTCCACCCAGCTGCCGTGTGAACTTCCCTGCAGTCCTGTTTATATGGGCGTAGTTAGAACTGCCTCAGCAATGGTGGCCCACCTCTGTAATGGCAGACTCTCTCTGTAGTGGCAGACTCTCTCTGTAATGGCAGGTTGCCTTGGCAACAGTGGGCTGCCTCAGCAATGGCGGACTACCTCCATAAGGGTGGAGTAATGGTGGCCGCCCCTCCCCCACAGAGCTGGACCATCCCAGGTTCAGCTGTGTTTGCTGTGAAACTCTCAACCCAGAGCATTTCCAATTGCTTTTTTTGTGTGCGTGGGGCTGGGACCAGCTGAGCCTGATCACCTGGCTCCCTGCCTCAGAGCCTTTTTTTTTTAGTTGAACAGTCGACTTTCTCCCAGGTGTTCCAGTTGCCTGTTGAAAGGGCTCCAGGATCTGTGTGATTTCCCATGCGGCAACCCACTGCACCAGCTGAAACAGTGGCGCTGAGATTCATGGCACCTTTTTTGCCTGGGAATCTCCTGGCCTGGCTCCCTGTTTCAGTCCCCTTTTTAATCAGATGAATGGATGACTGTGCCTTCCCAGGGCTCCAATCGCCAGCTAAAAGGGCACCCAGTCCAGTGCATTTTGTAAGAAGAACCACCACGCCAGGGTGCCGGCAAAGCCGTGCCGGCCAAAACAGCCGTGCTGGCCAAAACAGCTGCACTGGTGCCCTGTGGGGCTCCTCTGCCTGGGAATCTCCTGGTCTGTGGGCAATAAAAATCCATCTGGAAATGCAGCGTCCGCTAACCCTCTGTGCTTTCACTGGGAGCTGCAATCCTGAGCTGTTCCTAATCAGCCATCTTGGATCTCTGAGGTTTACTTTTAAGATTTAGAACTCCTTTTAGCATTTCTTGCAGGACTCACTTGGAAGTGGTTAGTTGTCTCAGCATTTGTTTGAAAGAGACATTATCTCTACCTCATTTATGAAGTTTAGTTTTGCTGACTACCAAATTCTTGGCTGTTACTTATTTTGTTTGAAGAAGCTAAAGATGGGACCCCAGTCCCATTTAGCTTGTAGGGTTTCTGCTGGGAAATCTGCTAATCTGATAGGTTTTCCTTTGTACATTACCTGATGCTTTTTCCTAACAGCTCTTAAGTTTCTTTCATTTGTCTTGCTTTAGATAAACTGATGTCTATGTGCCTGGGTATGATTGTTTTGCAATGAATTTCCCAGGTGTTCTTTGAGCTTCCTGTCTTTGGATGTCCAGAACTCTAGCAAGGCCAGGGAGGTTTCCTGAGTTTTTCAAACTTGTAGATTTCTATTCTTCCTCAGGAACACTAACTATGTTTAGGTTTGGCTGTTTAACATAGTTCCAAATCTCTTGGAGGCTTTGTTCTTTTCTTAAAATTCCTTTTTCTTTCTATTTGACTGGGCTAATTAAGAAGCCTTGTTTTTGAACTCTGAAATTCTTTATTGTACTTGTTATAGCCTGCTGTTAAAACTTTCCAGTGCATTTTGTATTTCTCTTAGTGTGTCTTTCATTCCAGAATTTGTAACCTTTTTTTCTTTAGGACCTGTATTTCTCTGGAGCATTTTTCACCTATATCCTGTATTAATATTTAAATTTCTTTAAGTTGGGTATGACCTTTTGTTGATATCTCCTTGAGTAGCTTGATAATCAACCTTCGGAATTCTGTCTGGCAATTCTGATTTTCTTCTTTGTTTGGATCTCTAGCAGGGGAGCTAATGTGGTCTTTTGAGGATGGACTAGAACCCTGTTTCATCATATCATCAGAATGACTCTTCTGATTCCTTCTCATTTGTGTAGATTATTTCAGTGAGAAAACCTGGAACTCAAGAGCTGCTGGTCAGACTCTGTTGTCCCAAAGGGTGGGCCCTTGAAATGGTGCACTTCCCCTTCCTCTAGAGATGGGGCTTCTGCAAGCCAGACTGCAGTGATTGTTGTTCTTCTGGGTCTCCCCACCCATCAGGGCTACCAGTCTGGTGCTGGGGAATGTCTGCACAGAGTGCTATGATGTGATCCGCCTTCGGGTCTCCCAGCTGCAGGTGTCAGCACCTGCTCCAGTGGAGGTGGCAGGGGAGTGAAGTGGACTCTGTGGGGGTCCTGGGCTGTGGATAGGTTTACTGTGCTGACTTTCTTGGAGGCTGGTGATTCTAGCAGTGAAGCTGTCACATGGACAGACTCGGGACCTCTGGTTATTCTGGATGTTGCAGGAGGTGGAATCAGCTCTTTGTTTTCTTCTTCCTGGGAGCAGGATTGTTTAGTCATGAGTTGCTGTCCTGTTCTGAGCTGGGTGGCCTCAAGCCAGGAGGTGGTACTTTCAAGAGAGCAGCAAGCAGAGTTGTCACCTGTCCTGTCGTATTCACAGTGGCCAGTGGCTTCTTCCAAAGCCTCTGTGATTTTTTTTTCCTGGTATGCTCCTGTGTTGGTTTCCAGAGCAAAAGTCCATGGTGTGAGTCTCCACCTGCTTTTCTCCCTGTCCTAGTGGGAGCTGCTCATTAGATCTGTCTCCCATCTGCCATCACCCTTCAGAACCTGGCTGAGGCACTGGTCTAGGGCAGGGCCCACACAGATGAAGGAGACCCTGCTTTACAATGTCCCAGTGGGAAGAAGTCATGGTCCTTTACACGAGAAGCTCCTTCCATTTCCCACTGTGCAGTAACCCAGGAACACTCACACAACCTCCCAGGAGCTGCTGGTCTCCAGGTTCTGAGACACGTGACCCCACAGCAGTGGTGCTTACAGGACACACTGCAGGCCCCAACGCTGTCCTGAGCCCTCCACAAAGCTGAGATGAGTTTCTCTCTTCCTGCTGATCCCACTAGAGTCAAAACCAAGAAGTCCCTGCTGATGTTCCACTGGCCATGTCACCTCTCTGCTCCCATACACCCAGTTGGGAGCTCATCAGGACAGGTAAGTTGCAGTCACTGGGCACTGGTCCCTGAGGACAGGGCCCTGTGCGGAATGTGTGGTCTGCGGTCCCCCAAAGCTGAGGTTAGGGCAGCCTTCAGAATGGAGGCACTCTGTGCCCATGGGTGCTCCCATGTGGGAATGATGGTGGGTGGAGCACAGAAGAGAGATCCAGTCAGAGGCAGGAACGCTTCCCAGCTGAGGGTGAGAGAGACAGATGGGTGCCAGAGTGGGAGCCCCTGGCACTGGAGCCCCACAGTCAGGCTACGGTGACGCAGATGCCCAGGGCAGGCTCTGAAGGGCCCAGGACACACAGCAGGGGACAGTGCTGTGATAAAAGGATGCAGGGAAATTGTTAGCCATGGCAGAAAGTACATGTTGTGTTTTAAAATAAAATGCTGAGGAAGGACTGTGTGTAGGACACAGGTGGGAATAGAGGTGTGTGTGGTCACGTGTGCATGTCTGTGGTGTGTGGCTGCAGGTATGTGTGTGGTGTAGGGTCACATTTGTGGTTGTGTGTGTGGTGCGTGGTTACGTGTATCTGTGAGTGAGTGGTGCGTGTTTGTTCCGTGGACTCTGTGTCTGTCCTTCACAGGAAAAGCCCAGCGCAGCTGCCAGCTTTAGGGCCACCAATTTCTGTTCCTGTTCAGGGGTCGGCTTCCAGTGGTTTCTGCTGGGTCATTATTTATTTTTTAGCGATGTGATCTACTCTGTCCCCCAGGATGGATTGCAGTGGTGGGATCATGGCTTACTGCAGCCTCCACCTTCTGGCCTTAAGCAATCCTCGTACCTCAACTTCTTGAGTAGCTGGAAGTACAGGCATGTGCCATCACACCCAGCTAATTGATTTTTTATTTCTTAAGAAATGGTGTCTCACTCTGTTGCTCAAGTTTGTTTAGAACTTCTGGGCTTAAGCGAGTGTCAGGGCCAAGTCTCCCATAGCACTGGGATTACAGGAGTAAGCCACTGCGCTGGGCTGTGGAGGGGTGTCCTTTTGAGCAGGCTTTGTGAGGGGGTCAGTTTCAGCTTCAGCTTCTGGGGATTACAGGTGACTTCTTCCCTGTGGGGCAGGGCCGCCTCACCACACTCCCCAGGACTTCAGGGAACGGGCTCCTGAGACTTGGAAATGAAAAGGGCTCAGCCCCGGTCAGGAGGAACAGTGGCGCTGGTGTCCAAGCCTTGCCCCTTGCCTGCACTTCCACCAAAGATTTGGAGACACACTCAGTGGAAACCGTTGGAGCCCCAGCCCACCCCAGACTCAGCCACCAAATTTCCCTCCCTCCATGTGGTGCAAGGACTCACGGGATTTTCTCTGCCTGAGATCGTCTGCGTCGACACCTGCTGCCCGGGTGCAACCGTGAGTCCCCTCGGTCTCTTCACAGCGTCTCGGGTGGATGATGAATTATAGTCACCCTCACATGAAGCCATGTGATGCCTGGTCCGAAGCGGAGAAGATCTGTCAGCATCACGTTGAATCCCAACCCTGCATCTCTGTGGGCTCCAGGACAATCCTATGAAAATGACACTTTTGGTTCACTGTTCACGTCAGGGAGGAGAATCCGAAAATGAGTGTGACGTCACTGACACCCACGTCCATGGTACAGCCTAGTGCTGAGCTCCACAGACCTGCAGTCCATGGCCTCCGCTCGGAGTGGGCCACGGCTGCTGACAGCGTTGTCCAGGGAAGATGCCCTGAGTCCATGAATGGAACAAACTGGAAACTCCAGAAACAAGCCTGTAAAGTATATTCTCTGTAGGTTTATTGCTGAGTTAAAAACGAGGAAACTGCAGCCAGCACAAGAAAATTAGATGCCAATTTATTCAGCTCCCAGGCGAGGTTCTGTGGTCCCAGGGAGAGGGGCCAGGGAAGTCCCGCTGCTTCCTCTCAGGAGTGGGGTTTTATGGGAAGTGAAGACGTTCGATTGGATTTGGAGAAACAGGATGTGGACGGGGTGAGCTGCTATTGGTAGGGAGGTGGGACTTCCGGTGAGCAGGCTAAGTGCTGAGTGCAGAGGGGATTTCCAAGGGTGGGGTTAGATGATGGGCATATTCTGATAACATGATTTTCAAGCAGGGAGGGACATGGGCATGTCTGAACTCCCGGTGAGAGAACCAGCATTACAAAGCCCTTCTCTCCATTTCTGGTCTTTGGCTCTAATGGAAGGTGGCAAGGCAGTGGGGGGAAATGGAAGCATTTTTAATGAATGTGCTGCAGCAGCAGCAGGATGACCACATGCCAGACTCACACACACACACAGCTCTGGTCCTCAGAAAACCAATGCAGAATCCATCACAGTCCGCATAGTAAAAGGGGAAACTTTAACATTTCCGAAAATATCATAGAATATCTTTAGGATCTTCTGTTAGGCAGTTTTCTCTGACTGATACCAAAAATTCTATTTCAGAAGGAAATGGTTAATTTGACTTTAAATATTGAAATTTGTTTCTTCAGTTGTCACATTTAAGAGAATGAAAACATAAGCCACCAGCTAAAATAACATATTTACCAGTCATATTCTTTCATCCAAGATATTTAAAGAATCGTGAACACTAAATAATAATAATTTAAAAACTCAGTTTTTAAATGGATGAAAGATTTGAGCACAGTCTTCACTAGGGCAGCAATACTGATGAGAAATAAAGCACACAAAATAGTGCCCAACATCATTTGACACTGGGGAACCCCAAGCTAAACCACGGTGAGGTACCACTACACCTTCAATAGAATGGCTGCAAGAAAAAAATGATTAATGATACCATCCCGGCACAAGTTCACACCTGACATCCCAGAGCTTTGGATGGCTCGTGAGGAAGGAGGATCCCTTGAGGCCAGGAGTTTGAGGCCAGTCTGGGCAACATAGCAAGACCCTGTCCCCAAAAAAAGAATTTAATAAAAGATGATCAATATCAAGTATTGGTGAAGAGGCTGGAGAACTGGAAGTCTCATCTTCTGCTAATGGAGATGAATGATGATGCCACATCAGCAAGTAGTTTGGCAAAGCTTCAGACACGGAGAATACACTTACCATATGACTCAGCACCCCCACTCCCAGGTTCTTACCCAAGAGCACTGAAAACCACAGGTGCACATGGAGCAGGTGTTTTCTTTGCTAGAGCTTCCACAAGCAGGAACCACATACCGGGCTGAAACAAGAAATGTATTTTCTCACATACCCAGAGGCTGGAAGTCCCAGAGCACAGTGTCTACAGCGTTGGCTTCTCCTGATGCTTCTCTCCTTGTAGATGGCCGCCTGCTCTCTGCGTCTTTTCACAGTCTTCCCTCTGTTTGTGTCTCTGTCATAATCTCCCCTTATTATGAGGACACCCGTCACTCTGGATGAGGGCTCACCCTAATATCCTCATCTAACATCTGTTACCTCTTTCAAGACCCTGTCCCCACACACAGTCACATTCTGAGATACTAGGTGTTAGGATGTCAACCTATGAATTTGGAGGAGGACACAGTTCAGCCTGTGAAATGAGGATGGGGAGGAAGGGTGCTGTGCCACCACTGAGATCCTATCCTGAGATCCAGCCATCCTTGAATTACCATGACTCAGGACTGACTAGCAATGAACTTCAATTTTGTTTAAGAATAAGTTCAATCTCAACAATGTCTTTGCTCATTCTATGAATTCTGCTTCACTTCCCCACAGGAAGGAGATGGTGCCCCAGGTCCCTCTGCACTTGGGTAAGTTTGTGAGTTTAATAGTATTATTCTACCTATCAGTAACATAGTTGTACAGTAGTCTTAATTCAAATTACTTTGGAATAATATGTCATCTATTTACGTCTTCAAAATATGAAGATGACATAGTAGAAAATCAAAATATTTCACTTAACATTTATACCCATTCATGTAGCTTATTGTACTTTTCTTACTTGAAAAAATTTTATAATTCTTCATAACTAACAGCTGAACTCATGCTCAAAAAGAAGGCCAATCATAGTTATTTTCTGTCTTTCTTAAACACATGTAATGTGAGTCTGTATGGTTTTTAATATTTCTAATAGTTTTTCACTGCAAGTCAAGTCTGGTCATTTCACCTCTAAATGTGTCCACTGATGACAGCTCTGCCCCAGCACTGCACAAATTCAGCCCAACTGCACACGACTACAAAAGCTGAAACGCGACCATTATAAAGGTCATGATCCAGTTTCAAGCACACATTTTAATGAATAACCTGTTCTCAGATGAAATGAAACTGTGTGCAGCCATGACAAGTACACATTCTTCCCAGAGAACCTCAAGTCAGAATACGCTTCTCACAGAACTTAGAGTCACAGGAAATCTACTCATACATGATGGCGAGTAAATTATTAATCTCTTTCCTGTTCCATTTTCCTCTGCATATAATGAACCAGATTAACTCTGCATTTTAGAAGCTGCTTTATACAACATTTCCCAGGGTTCTGGGGTTCAGATATTGCACTCCTACCCTCTAACCCAGGCGTCCCCAGACTTTTTACACAGGGGGCCAGTTCACTGTCCCTCAGACCGTTGGAGGGCCGCCACATACTGTGCTCCTCTCACTGACCACCAATGAAAGAGGTGCCCCTTCCTGAAGTGCGGCGGGGGGCCGGATAAATGGCCTCAGGGGACTGCATGTGGCCCGCGGGCCGTAGTTTGGGGACGCCTGCTCTAACCTGAGGGACTTTTCTTATAGAACCATTTACTACCATTTAGAATGAAATGAACTTTAAAGATAGAAATCATTGACTCAAACTTTTCCAGGTGTGCACTCCAACACACATATACACACCTACACGCAGGAACATACACATTCATATACACGGAGTCACTCACACATCCACACACACACATGCTCACAGGCATTCACACACACTCACACATTCACACACACACATTCACACACAGTCACAGATTAACACACATTCACACTGGCACAGCCTCCCTCCGGCCCTCACATCACACCCCAGTCCCCACCCTGCCTGCCATACTCCCCCGTCACTGCTGGGAGCCCCAGCTCATCTCACAGGGAAACCCCACCCCAGCCTGTACAAAGCAGCCCTGTCTCCACTCTGGGGACCCAGCAGCGTCAGCTGTCCTGGCCCAGGACCTCTGGGGGACTCTGCCACTGTCCCAGTAGACCATGCTGCTGAGAGGAGCCAGACAGCCAATCTGGGAAGGGCCCAGTGGACGTAAGCCCAGAAACGAGGTGGGCATTGCAGGAGGGTGTGTGAGGGACGCTCCTCATGCTGGGATGAAGGAGCACCCACACCCCGTGGCTCGGAGCTGCCTGGGGTTCCTCTGGATGCAGCTGTGACCCCAGACTGCTGAGGGCACCATCTGGCTCCCGGGCCTCCCCCTCAAGATCAGTGCACCCAGCTGGCCTCATCCTCCCAACCCAGCTGCCCTGGGTCATGGAGCAGCATGCACCTGGGGAAGATTTAATCCCAACTAATTCTTACAGCTGACCGTCGCATCACACGCTCATTGTTCCAAGGTTGCACAGTGGTAGCAGTTCTTTAAGGAATCGCCATACTGTTTACCACCGTGGTTGTACTAGGACCTTCCCACCTGCAGTGTAAACGGCTTCCCTTTTCACGACATCCATACCAATATCTTTTTTTTTTAATTTTTAAAAATTATAGCCATTCTTGCAGGAGTAAGTATTGAGGTTTTGATTTGCATTTCCCTGATAATCATTAATGTTCAACATTTTCCATATGCTTGTTAGCCATTTGTATATCTTCTTTTGAGAATTGTCTATATGTGTTCTTTGCCCACTTTTTGATGAGTTTTTTTCTTTATTTGTTGTTTTTGAGACAGAGTCTCTCTCTGTCGCCCAAGCTGAAATGCCGTGGAAAGATCTTGGCTCACTGAAGCCTCTGCCTCCCTGGTTCAAGCCTCCGCCTCCCGGATTCTCCTGCCTCAGCCTCTTGAGTAGCTGGGATTACAGGTGCCCACAACCACGCCTGGCTAATTTCTATATTTATAGTAGAGACAGAGTTTCACTGTGTTGGCCAGACTGGTCTCAAACTCTTGACATCAAGTGATCCCCCTGCCTCCACCTCCCAAAGCATAGTATTACAGGCATGAGCCACCATGCCTGACTGGATGATTTGTTTTTTCTTGCTGATTTGTTTGAGTTCCTTTTTCGATTCTGTATACTAGTCCTTTGTTAAATGTACAGATTGTAAATATTTTCTCCCATTCTTTGGGTTGTCTGTTTGCTGATTATTCCTTTTCCTGTGCAGAAGCATTTTAGTTTAATTAAATCCCATCTACTTATCTTTGCTTTTGTTGCATTTGCTTTGGGATTCTTAGTCATGGAATCTTGGTCTAAGTCAGTGTCTAGAAGCATTTTCTGATGATATCTTGTAGATTTTTTATGGTTTCAGGTGTTAGATTTAATCTTTGATCCCTCTTGAGTTGACGTTTGTATAAGGCGAGAGATGAGGATCCAGCTTCCTTCTCCTGCAGGCGGATTGTGAATTATCCTGGCACCATTTGTTGAATAGGGTGTCCTTTCCCCACTTGATGTTTCTGTTTGTCAAAGATCAATAGGTAGTAAGTATTTGGCTTTATTTATGAGTTATCTATTCTGTTCCATTGGCTACATGCTTATTTTTATATCAGTACCATGCTGTTTTGGTAACTCTAGCCTCGTAGTATAGTTTGAAGTCAGGTAATGTGATGCCTCCACATTTGTTCATTTTGATTAGTATTGCTTGCCTATGTAAAATCTTTTTTGGTTCCATATGAATTTTAGGATTGTTTTTTCTAGTTCAGTAAAGTATGATGGTGATATTTTGATGAAAATTGCATTGAATTCGTAGATTGCTTTTGGCAGTCATTTTCACAGTATTGATTCTACCCATCCGTGAGCATGGGATGTGTTTCCATTTATTTGCATTGCCTGTGATTTCTTTCAGCCGTATTTTGTAGTATTCTGGTAGCGATCTTTCACTTTTTGGGTTAGGTATATTCCTAAGAGTTTTGTTGTTGTTGTTGTTGTTTTGCAGCTGTTGCAAAGGGTTTGATTCTCATTTGATTCTCAGCTTGGTTGTTTTTGGCATATATCAGTATTACTGATTTTATCTTGAAACTTCATGGAATTCATTTATCAGATCTAGGAGCTTCTTGGACGAGTCTTTAGGGTTTTCTAGGTATATGATCATATGATATGTGAACAGGGACAGTTTGACTTCCTGTTTACCAGTTTGGATGATTTTTATTTCTTTCTCTTGTCTGATTGCTCTGGTTAGGACTTCTGGTACTATGATGAATAGCAGTGGTGAAAGTGGGCATGCTTATCTTGTTCCAGTTCTCAGGGGCAATGCTTTCAGCTTTTCCCCATTCAGCATAATGTTAGCTATGGGTTTGTCATATAGGCCGTTTATTACCTTGAGGTATGTCCCTTCTGTGAGATTTTGCTGAGTGCTTTATTTATAAAGGGATGCTGAATTTTGTCAAATGCTTTTTCTGCATCTATTAAGATTGGTCTGTGATTTTTGTTTTTAATTCTATTTATATGAGTTATCACATTAGTGACTTCCATATGTTAAACCTTTCCTGCATCCCTGGTATGAAACCCACTTGACCATGGTGTATTATCTTTTTGATATGCGATTGGATTCTGTTGGCTAGTAGTTTGTTGAGGATTTTTGCATCAATATTCATAAGGGACATAGTTTTCTCTTATTGTTATGTGCTTTCCTGGTTTTGGTATTAGGGTGATACAGCCTTCATGGAATGATTTAGGGAGGATTCTCTTAGGCTTTTGCAGTAGGTTCTTCTTTGGATTCCTGATAGAATTCAGCTGTGAATTTGTCCTGGACTTTTTTTCTTGGTAATTTGTTTTGTTACTGTTTTAGTCTCACTACGTGTTAAGAGTTTCTATATCTTCCTGATTTAATCTAGGAGTTGTATATTTCCAGGAATTTCTCCATCTACTACATTTTCTAGTTTGTGTAAAGGCATTTATAGTAGCCTTAAATGATCTTTTGCCTTTCTGTGGTATCTGTTGTAATATCTCTCATTTCTTTTCTAATTGAGCTTCTTTGGATCTTTTCTTGATTAATCTCAGTAATTGTCTATAAATTTTGTCTTTTCAGAAAACTGGCTTTTTGTCTCATTTATCTTTTGTGTTGTTTTTTCAATTTTATTTAGTTCTGTTCTGATCTTTGTTATTTCTTTTCTTCTGCTGTTTGGGTTTTGTTTGTTCTTCTTTCTCTAGTTCCTTGATGTGTGACCTTAGATTGTCTATTTGTGTTCTTTCAGAATTTTTGATGTAGGCATTTAATGCTATGAATGTTCTTCTTAACATCATTTTTGCTGTGTCCTAGAGGTTTTGATAAATTGTGTCACTATTATCGTATAGTTCACAGAATTTTTAAATTTCCTTCATTCATAGTTGACCCAAAGATCATTCTGGAGTAGATTATTTAACTTTAACGTATTTATGTAGTTTTGAGGGTTCCTTTGGAGTTAATTTCCAATTTTATTCCTCTGTGGTCTGAAAGGATGCTTTATATGATTTAGATTTCCATAAATTTATTTAGATTTGATTTGTGGCCTATTATATGATCTATCTTAGAAAATGTTTCATGTACTGATGAAAAGAATGTATATTTTGTAGTAGTTGGGTAAAATGTTACATAAATACCTGTCAAGTCCATTTGTTCTAGGGTATAGAGTAAGTCCATTGTTTCTTGGTTGACTTTCTGTCTTGATGACCTGTCTAGTGCTGTCAGTTGAGTTCCCCTACTGTTACTCTGTTGCCATCTATCTCATTGCTTATGTCTGGTAATATTTTTATGAATTTGGGAGGTCCCATGTTAGGTGCATATATATTTAGTATTGTGATATTTTTCCTTATTCTTTAATCATTATATAATGTCCCACTTTGTCTTTTTTAGCTGTCCCTGCTTTAATGGCTTTCTATCTGGTATAGGAATAGTTCCCCCTGCTTGCCGTTGGTTTCCATTTGTATGGAATATCTTTTCCCACCTCTTTACCTTGAGTTTATGTCAGTACTTGTACATTAGGTGAGTCTCTTGAAGACAGCAGATACTTAGTGGAATTTTCACCATTCTGCTCCCCTGTATCATTTAAGTGGAGAATTTAGGCCATTTACATTCAATATTAGTATTGGGATGTGAGCTACTGTTTTATTCATTACGCTGGTTGTTGCCTGAATACATTGGGTTTTGTTTTCTTTGTGTTACTGTTTTGTAAGCCCATGAGATTTATGCTTTAAGAAGGTCCTATTTTGGTTAGCTTGAGGTTTTGTTTTAAGATTTAGAACTCCTTTTAGCATTCTTGTAGTACTGGCTTGGTAGTGGCTAGGTTCTCAGCATTTGTTTGTCTGCAAAAGACATAGTCTCTCCTTCATTTCTGAAGTTTAGTTTTGCTGAGTACGAAATTCTTGGCTGGCAATTATTTTCTTTCAGGAGGCTAAAGATAGGACACCAATCCCTTCTGGCTTGTAGGGATTCTGCCAAGAACTCTGCTGTTAATTTGAGAGGTTTTCCTTTATATATTCCCCGATGCTTTTGCCTCAGAGCTCTTAAGATTCTTTCATTTGTCTTGACTTTAGGTAACCTGATGACTATGTGCCTGGGTGATGATCCTTTTGCAATGAATTTCCCAGGTGTTCTTTGAGCTTCTTGTCTTTGGATGTATAGAACTGTAGCAAGGCCAGCGAAATTTTCCTTGATTATTCCCTCAAATAAGTTTTCCAAACTTGTAGATTTCTCTTCTTCCTCAGGAGCACTAATTATTCTTAGGGTTGGCTGTTTAATATAATCCCAAATTTCTGGGAAGCTTTTTTTAAAAAACAAAAAAACACACAACTTTTTTCTTACTCTGTGTGACTGGCTTAATTAAAAAGCCTTGTTTTTGAGTTCCGAGCTCTTTTTTTGAGTTGTTTGTTTCTATGTTGAAACTTTACAGTGCATTTTGTATTTTTCTAAACTGTATTTTATTTCCAGAAGTTGTGACTGCTTTTTCTATGTGATCTCTATTTCTCTGGGTACTTTTCATCTATATCCTTTATTGTCTTTTAAATTTCTTCAAGTTGGTCTTCGCCTTTCTCTGGTATCTCCTTGAGTAACTTAAAAATCAGCCTTCTGAAGTCTTTGTCCCACAGTTGAGAGACTTTCTTCTTGGTTGAGATACATTACTGGGGAGCTGGTGTCTTCTGAGGGAGGTATAGAAACTTGTTTTCTCATATTCCCAGAATTACTCTTCTGATTCCTTCTCATTTGTTTAGATTATTTTGGTAGGAAAATCTGGAACTCAAGAGCTGCTGGTCAGATTCTGTTGTCCATGGCATGGTCCCTTGATTGGTGCACTCTCCCTTCCTGTAGAGATGGGGCTTCCTGCAAACCAGACAGAAGTGATTGTTACTGTTCTTCTGGGTCTCCCCACCCATCAGAGCTACCAGGCTGGTGCTGGGGAATGTCTGCACAGAGTGCTATGATGTGATCCGCCTTCAGGTCTCCCAGCTGTGGGTGCCAGCACCTGCTCCAATGGAGGGGGCAGTGGAGTGAAGTGGACTCTGTGGGGGTCCTGGGCTGTGGATAGGTTTACTGTGCTGACTTTCTTGGAGGCTGGTGATTCTAGCAGTGAAGCTGTCACATGGACAGACTCGGGACCTCTGGTTTTTCTGGATGTTGCAGGAGATGGAATCAGCTCTTGTTTTCTTCTTCCTTGGAGCAGGGTTGTTCAGTCATGGGTAGCTGTCATGTCCTGAGCTGGGTGGCCGCCAGCCATTAGGGGCACCTTCAAGAGAGCAGCAGAGTTGTCACCTGTCCTGTGGAATTCTCAGCAGCCTACAGCTTCTTCCGAAGGGTCTGTGATTTTGTTTGGTTTTTGTGGTATGCTCCTGTGGTGGTTCCTGGAGCAAAAGTCCACAGTGTGAGTCTCCACTTGCTGTTCTGTCTGTCCAAGTGGGAGCTGCACATCAGACCTGTGTCCTATCTGCCATCAGCCACCAAAACATGGCTGTTTAAGTGTGGTGGCTCACGTCTCAAATCCCAGCACTGTGGGAGGATGTGGTAGGCTGGATCACCTGAGGTCAGGAGTTCAAGACCAGCCTGGCCAACATGACAAAACCCCATCTCTACTAAAAAAAAAAAAATACAAAAGATAGCTGGCCATGGTGGTGGGCACTCTGGAGGCTGAGGTAGAAGAATTGCTTGAAGCAGGAAGCAGAGATTTCAGTGTGCCGAGATAGTGCCACTGCACTCCAGCCTGGGCAAAGAGTGTGACTGCATCTCAAAAAAAAAGAAAAGAAAAGAAAACGTGGCAGGGCCTGCTTTGCAGTGTCCCAGTGGGAAGGAATCATGGTCCTTTACAGGAGAAGCTCTTTCCATTTCCCACTGCGCAGTAATCCAGGAACACTCACACAACCTCCTGGGAGCTGCTGGTCTCCAGGTTCTGCGGCACGAGGGCCCCACAGCAGTGATGCCGCAGCTTCCAGTGCTGCCTGGAGCCCCCCACAAAGCTGAAATGAGTTTCTCTCCTCCTTCCCACCCCATCAGAGTCCAGGCCAAGAAGTCCACACTAATGCCCAAGTGCCCATGCCACCTCTCCACTCCTGTGCACCCGGATGGGGGCTTGTCAGCACAGGTAAGTTACGGTTGCTGGACACTGGGCCCCAAGGACAGGGCCGTGTGCAGGATGTGTGGTCTGCGGTCCCCCCAAGCTGAGGTTAGGGCAGCATTCAGAATGGAGGCACTCTGTGTCCAAGGGTGCTCCCCACATGGGAATGATGGTGGGTGCCGCACAGCAGAGAGATCCAGTGAGAGGCAGGAACCCTTCCCAGCGGAGGGTGAGAGAGACAGATGGGTGCCAGAGTGGGAGTCCCCAGCACTGGAGCCCCACGGTCAGGTTACAGTGACGCAGATGCCCAGGGCAGTCTCTGAAGGGCCCAGGACATGCAGCAGAGGACAGTGCTTTGATAAAGGATGGAGGGAAATGGCTAGCTGTGGCAGAATCTATGTGCTGTGTGTTTTAGATTTTTAAAAATAAAATGCTGAGGAAGGACTGTGTGTAGGAGACAGATGGGAATAGAGGTGTGTATGGTCACATGTGCACGTCTGTGGTGTGTGGTTGCAGGTATGTGTGTGGTGTATTGTCACATTTGTGGTTGTGTGTGTGGTGCGTGGTTACGTGTATCTGTGTGTGAGTGGTGCGTGTTTGTTCCGTGGACTCTGTGTCTGTCCTTCACAGGAAAAGCCCAGCGTGGCTGCCGGCTTTAGGGCCACCTATTTCTGTTCCTCCTCGGCAGTCGGTTTCTAGTGGTTTTCGCTGGGTCATTATTTTTTAGAGATGGGATCTCACTCTGTCACCCAGGATGGATTGCAGTGGTGGGATCAGGGCTCACTGCAGCCTCCACCTCCTGGGTTCAAGTGATCTTCTCACCTCAGCCTCTCGAGTAGCTGGAATTACAGGCGTGTGCCACCACACCCAGCTAATTTCTTTTATTTCTTGAGAGATGGGGTCTCAGTCTGTTGCCCAGGGTTGTTTGGAACCTCTGTTCTCAAGCAAACCTCTGGCCTCAGCCTCCCATAGTACAGGGATTACAGGTGTGGGCCTTCGCACCAGGCCATGGGGAGGTCCTTTTGAGCAGGCTTTGTGAGGGGGCTGGCCGCTGAGGGTTACAGGTGACTTCTCCTTCCCTGTGGGGACAGGGCCGCCTCACCGCACCCCCCAGGACTTCAGGGAACGGGCTCCTGAGACTTGGAAATGAAAAGGGCTCAGCCCCGGCCTGAAGGAGCAGTGGCGCTGGCGTCCAAGCCTTGCCCCTTGCCTGGACTTCCACTGAAGATTTGGAGACACACTCAGTGGAAACCGATGGAGCCCCCAGCCTGCCCCAGCCCAGACTCAGCCACCAAATTTCCCTCCCTCCACGTGGCACACGGGCTCACAGGATTTCTTTGCCTGGGATTGTGTGGGCTGCATAGCAAGACTGTGTCTTAAAAAAAAATAATTAACCAAAAATGAACAATGCCAATATTAGTAGAGAGGCAGGAGAACTGGAAGTCTCATCCTCTGCTCATGGAGGCGATGATGCCTCCTCAGAAAGCAGTTTGGCAAACTTCAGATGCGGAGAATACATTTATCATATGGCCCAGCACGCCCTCTCCCAGGTTCTTACCCAAGGGCACTGAAAACCACATGTGTGCATGGAGCAGGTGTTTTCCTTTGCTAGGGCTTCCACAAGCAGGAGCCACACACGGGGCTGACACTAGAAATGTAGGTCCTCACCCAGAGGCTGGAAGTCCCAGAGCACGGTGTCTGCGGGGCTGGTTTCTCCCGAGCCCTCTCTGCTTGGCTTGTAGATGGCCGCCTGCTCTCTGTGTCGTCCCACAGTCTTCCCTGTTTGTGTCTCTGTAGTAATCTCCCCTTATTACGAGGACAGCGGTCACTCTGGATGAGGGCTCACCCTAATATCCTCGTCTAACATCAGTTTCCTCTTTCAAGACCCTGTCTCTACATACAGTTACATCCTGAGGTTCTGGGTGTTGCGACGTGGACCTATGAATTTGGAGGAGGACACAGTTCAGCCCGTAATACAGGGATGGAGAGGAAGGGTGCTGTGCCACTGCTGAGACCAAATCCTGGGATCCGGCCCTCCTTGAAGTGCCATTATTCTCAGAACTGACTAGCAATGGACTGGAATTTTATGAGTAAGCTCAATGTCAACAACATCTTTGTTCACCCTGTGAATTTTCCTTCACTTCCCCACAGGAAGCAGATGATGCCCCGAGTCCATCTTCATGTGGGTAAGTTTCTGAGCTTCATGGGCATGTTTTATCTGTCTATAACACGGTTGTACCCTCATCTGGACGGCTTCGCAAACAGGCTTTCCAGAAACGTCTGCGAGCCAGTGTTGTGCCATGTACGTCATTTTATTCTGGAAGGTAAGAGTCAAAGGTCATGTGCATTTCAATCTCCACAGAGTTTATGATGACTTTCCCAAAAGGTCGGTGCAGTTTATACTTCCTTCAAGTCTGTCACTCTTTAGGCATGAGATACTAAGAGTATATTTAGTCTTTTTTGAATAAAATGTAATATTTCAATATGCATTTTTTTTACTACCAGTAAGACAACATTTTTTCATGTTTTGACCATTTTACAATTTTTCCTCTGTGAATTAGTGTTCAACTGTTGGATTATTTGGATTATCAAACATAACAGCTCTTTGCATGTTAGGAACCCTCTGAAATCTGTCACAGTGTAGCGGTTGGAAACTTTTCTGAAGCCAAATTTCTTAAAATTTCTTTTTATCTTGCTTTAAAAAGTCCTCATTACTCTAAGGTTATGTAATATTTCCCGATACTCTTTGCTTATATAGTCATAATTTTTATTCTTATTTCCATCATTTGGGGGAACATTTCCTGTTTGGTTGCATGGAAAGGTGCTTTTGTGCTGATTTCTGAGATTCAGTGACCCCACCACACGAGCAGCGTACACTGCACCCAGTGTGTAGTCTTTTACCGTCACCCTCCTCGCATCATTCCCCCGAGTCCCAAAAGCCCGTTACATCATTCTTATGCCTTTGCATCCTCATAGCTTAGCTCCCACTTGTAAGTGAGATAGTCTGATGTTTGGTTTTTCATTCTTGAGTTACTGCACTAAGGATAATGGTCTGCAACTCCATCCACGTTGTGTGAGTGCCACTATTTCATTCCGTTTTATGGCTGAGTAGTATTCCATGGTGTGTGTGTGTGTGTGTGTGTGTGTGTGTGTGTGTGTATGTATATATATATATTCTTTATCCACTGATTTGTTTTAGGCTGATTTCATGCTTTTGCAATCACAAACTATGCTGCTATAAACATGCAGGTGCAAGTATCTTTTTCATGAGATGACTACTTTTCTTCTGGGTAGATAGATAGCCAGTAGTGGGATTGCTGGATCAAATGATAGTTCTACCTTTAGTTCTTCACGGAATCTCCATCCTGTTTTCCATAGTGGTTGTACTAGTTTACATTCCCACGAGCAGTGTAAAAAGATTCCCTTTGCACCACATCCATACCAACATCTGTTATTTATTTTTTAAAATTATGGCCATTCTTACAGGAGTAAGGTGGTATTGCGTTGTGGTTTTGATTTGCACTTACCTGTTAATTAGTGATGTTGAGCATTTTTTCATATGCTTGTTGGCCATTTGCATATCTTCTTTTGAGAATTGTCTATCCATGAACTTTGCCCACTCTGATGGGTTAGGTACTTTTTGTGAGACAGAGTCTCGCTGTGTCACCGAGGCTAGAGTGCAGTGGCACGATCTTGGCTTATGAAAGCCTCTGCCTCCCAGGTTCAAGCAATTCTCCTGCCCCAACCTCCTGAGTAGCTGGCATTACAGGCACCCACCACCATGCCCAGCTAATTTTTGTATTGTTAGTGGAGATGGGGTTTCACCATGTTAGCCAGGCTGGTCTTGAACTCTTGACTTCAAGTGATCTGCCCACCCCAGCCTCCTAAAGGACTGGAATTACAGGCATGAGCCACTGTGCCAAACTAGGATGACTTGTTTTTTTCTTGCTGATTTGTCTGAGTTTCTTTTAGATCTGGATATTATTTTTTTGTCAGACGTACCGATTTTGAATATTTTTTTTAATCCTTGGGTTCTGTTTACTCTGCTTATTATTTCTTTTGTGGGGCATAAGCTCTTTAGTTAAAAATAAATTTAAGATAAATTCCATCTATTTTTGTTTTTGTTGCATTTGCTTTTAGATTCTTAGTCATGAACTCTTTGCCTAAGTCAATGTCTAGAAGAGTTTTTCTGATGATAGCTTATAGATTTCTGTATGCTTTCTGGTCTTAGATTGAAGTCTGATCCATCCTCAGTTGATGTTTGTAAAAGGTGGGAGGTGGGGATACAGCTTCATTCTTCTACGTGGGGATTGTGAATTACCCCAGCACCATGTATTGAATAGGATGTCCTTTCCCCACTCGATGTTTTTTTGGTTTGTTGAGGATCAATTGGCAGTAAGTATTTGGCTTCATTTATGGGTTTCCTATTCTGTTCCATTGGTCTACATGCCGATTTCTATATCAGTACCATGGTGTTCTGGTAACTCTAGCTTTGTAGTATAGTTTGAATTTGAATAATTTGATGCCTTCCGATTTGTTCTTTTTGGTTAGTCTTGCTTAGCTTGTGAGGTCTTTTTTGGTTCCATATGAATTTTAGGATTGTTTTTTCTAGTTCTGTGAAGAATGATGATGGTATTTTGATGGGAATTTCATAGACTGCTTTTGGCAGTGTGGTCATTTTCACAATACTGATTCTACCCATCCATGAGCACGGGATGTGTTTCCATTTATTTGTATTGTCTATGATTTCTTTCAGCAGTATTTTGTAGTTTCCCTGTAGAGATCTTTTATCTTTTGGGTTAGGTATATTCCTAAGTGTTTTGTTTGTTTGCTTGTTTGTTTGTTTTTTGCAGCCATTGCAAAAAGCATTGCCTTCTTTATTTGTTTCTCAGCTTTGGCATATAGCAGTGTTACTGATTTGTGTACACTAATTTTGTATCCTGAAAAGTAAGTTTCAGGATTTTTCAAATAATTTTTCTGCATCTATTGAGATAATCTATGATTTTTGTTTTTAATTCTGTTTATGTGAGGTATCACATTTATTGACTTGCATATGTTTAAACCATTCTTGCGTCCTTGGTATGAAACCGACTTGATCATGGTGTATTATCTTTTTGTTGTGCTGTTTGATTCCATGGGCTAGTATTTTGTTTAGGATTTTTGCGTCTATATTCATGGGAGATATCAGTCAGTAGTTTCCTGTTTTTGTTATGTTCTTTCCTGGTTTTAGTATTAGGGTACTACTGCCTTCATGGAATGATTTAGGGAGGATTCCTTCTTTGGAATAGTTTTCATATGATTGGTTTGAATCCTTCTTTGAATAACAATTCTTCTTTGAATGCCTGATAGAATTCAGCTGTGAATTCATCATTCTTTTTTTTTTTTTTTTTTTTTTTTTTTGGCAATTTTTTATTTACGCTTTCTTTTCTTTTCTTTTCTTTTTCTTTTCTTTTTTTTTTTTTTTTTTTTTTTTTTTTTGAGGTGGAATCTCACCCAATTGTCCTGGCTAGAGTGCAGTGGCATGATCTTGGCTAACTGCAACCTCTGCCTCCCAGGTTCAAGCGATTCTCCTGCCTCAGCCTTTCAGATAGCTGGGATTACAGATGTGGGCCCCTATGACCATCTGATTTTTTGTGTTATTAGTAGGGACAGGGTTTCTCCATGTTGGCCAGGCTTGTCTGGAACTCCTGACCTCAGGTGATCCACCTGCCTGGGCCTCCCAAAGTGCTGGGATTACAGGTGCGAGCCATCGCTGCTGGCCTATTTCTGTTTCAGTCTCACTACTTGGTGGTATTGATCTGCTAAGAGTTTCTATTTCTTCCTGATTTAATCTAGGAGGGTTATGTGTTTCCAGATATTTATCCGTCTCCTCTAGAATTTCTAGTTTGTGTGCATAAACGTGTTCATAGTAGCCTTAAATAGTCTTCGGTATTTCTGTGGTGTCAGTTGTAGTGTCTCCCATTTTCTTCCTCATTGAGCTTATTTGCATCTTCTCTCTTCTATTCTTGGTTAATCTCACTACTAGCTTATCAATTTTGTTTATCTTTTCAAAGAACCAGCTTTTTGCTTCACTTATCTTTTGTGTTGTTTGTTGTTTCAGTTTCATTTAGTTCTGCTCTGATCTTTGTTATTTCTTTTCTTTTGCTAGTTGTGGGCTTGGTTTGTTTTTGTTTCTCTAGTTACCTGAGGTGTGACCTTAGATTGTCTATTTGTGCCTTTCAGACTTTTTGATGTAGGCATTTAATGCTATGAATGTTTCTCTTAGCATCACTTTTGCTCTGTCCTAGAGGTTTTAATAAGTTGTGTCATGGTTATCATTTAGTTCAAATAATTTTTTAATTTCTCTCTTGATTTCATTGTTGACCCAAAGATCATTCAGGTGCAATTATTTAATTTTCATGTATTTGTTTAATGTTGTGGGCTCCTTTTGGAGTTAATTACCAATTTGATTCCACCGTGATCTGAAAAGACACTTGATATAATTTTGATTTTCTTAAATTCACTGAGATTTGTTTTGTGACCTATCATTTGCTCTACCTTGGAAAATGTTCCATGTACTGATGAAAACAATGTAGATTCTGCAGTTGTTAGGCAGAATGTTCTGTAAATACCCATCAAGTCCATGTGTCCCAGGGTAGAGTTTAAGTCCACTGTTTCTCTGCTGAGCTTCTGTCTTGATGACCTGTCCAGTGCTGTCAGTGGAGTACTAAGTGCCTCACTATTATTGTGTTACCATCTATCTCATTTCTTATGTCCAGTAATAATTGTTTTTGAATTTGGGAGCTTCCATGTTAGGTGCATTTATGTTTAGGATTGTGATATTTTCCCCTTGGAGTGATGCTTTTATCATTATATAATGTCACCATTTGTCCTTTTTAATTGTTGTTGCTTTAAAGTCTGCTTTGTCTGATATAAGAATAATTACTACTGCTTGCTTTGCTTTTCATCTCCATTTTCATGGAATATCTTTTTCCACCCCTTTACCTTGAGTTTATATGAGTCCTTATGCATTAGGTGAGTCTCTTGAAAACAGAAGATACTTGGTTGGTGAATTTTTCTCCATTCTGCCATTCTGTATCTTTCAAGTGGAGCACTTGGGCCATTTATCTTCAATGTTATTTTGAGATGTGAGCTACTGTTTTATTCATCATGCTACTTGTTGCCTGAATGCCTTGGTTTTTTTTACTTTGCATTACTGTTTTATAAGCCCCATGAGATTTACACTTTCAGGAGTTCTATTTTGGTGCATTTTGAAGTTTAGGACTTAGAACTTTTTTTTTCTTTTTAGCATTTCTTATACTACTGGCTTGGTAGTAGCTAGTTTTATCAGCATTTCTTTGTCTGAATTATCTCTCCTTCATTTATGAAGCTTAGTTTTGCTGAATACAAAATTCTTGGCTGTTAATTATTTTGTTTGAAGAGATTAAAAATCGGATGCCAATCCCTTCTGGCTTGTAGAGTTTCTGCTGGGAAATCTGCTGCTGATCTGATAGGTTTTCCTTTATAAGTTACCTGATGCTTTTGCCTCACAGCTCTTAAGATTCCTTGCTTTGTCTTGACTTTAGGTAACCTGATGACTATGTGCCTACGTGGTGATGCTTTTGCAATGAATTTCCCAGGTGTTCTTTGAGCTTCTTGTCTTTGGATGTCCAGAACTCTGGCAAGGCCAGGGAAGGTTTCCTTCATTATTCCCTCAAATAAGTTTTCCAAACTTGTGGATTTCTCTTTTTCCTCAGGAATACTCATTATTTTTAGGTCTGGCCATTTAGCATAATTCTAAATTTTGGGGAGGCTTTGTTTTTAAATTATATTTTCTTGCTCTTTGTTTGACAGGGTTAGTTCAAAAGCCCTGTTTCTAAGCTCTGAATTTCTTTCTTCTAGTTGTTCCATTCCACTGTTGAAACTTCCCAGTGCATTTTGTATTTCTCTAAGTTTGTCTTTTATTTCCAGAAGTTGTGATTGTTTCCTCTTTGTGATTTCTATTTCTCTGAAGTAATTTTCATGTATATCCTTTATTGATTTTAAAATTTTTCAGATTTGATTTTCACCTTATTCTAGTGTCTCCTTCATTAGCTTAATAATCAACCTTCTGAATTTTTTCCCCACAATTCAGAGATTTTCTTTTTGGTTTGGATCCATTGCAGGAGTGTTAATGTGGTGTTTTGAGGGTGGAATAGAACTGTATTTCATCATATTACCACAATTACTTTTGAATTCCTTCTCATTTGTATAGATTATTTCAGTAGGAAAGTATGGATCTCAAGGCCTACTGGTCAGATACTGTTGTCCCATGGGGTGTTCACTTGATTGGTGCACTCCCCCTTCTCCAAGGTATGGAATTCCTGCAAACTAGACTGCAGTGATTGCTATTGTTCTTCTGGGTCTCCCCACCCATCAGGGCTACCAGGCTGGTGCTGGGGAATGTCTGCACAGAGTGCTATGATGTGATCCACCTTCGGGTCTCCCAGCTGCGGGATGCCAGCACCTGCTCCAATGGAGGGGACAGGGGAGTGAAGTGAAGTGGACTCTGTGGGGGTCCTGGGCTGTGGATAGGTTTACTGTGCTGACTTTCTCAGAGGCTGGTGATTCTAGCAGTGAAGCTGTCACATGGACAGACTCAGGACCTCTGGTTATTCTGGATGTTGCAGGAGGTGGAATCAGCTCTTGTTTTCTCCTTCCTGGGAGCAGGGTTGTTTAGTCATGAGTTGCTGTCCTGTTCTGAGCTGGGTGGCCTCAAGCCCGGAGGTTGCACTTTCAGGAGAGCAGCAGAGGTGTCCCAAGTCCTGTGGAATTTGCAGTGGCCTGCGGCTTCTTCCAAAGGCTCTGTGACTTTTTTGCGTGTTTTCCTGGTACACTCCTGTGGTGGTTTCTGGAGGAAAAGTCCACGGTATGAATCTCCACCTGCTGTCCTCTGTCCTAGTGGGAGCTGCACATCAGACCTGTCTCCTATCTGCCATCACCCTTCAGAACCTGGCTGAGGCACTGGTCTAGGGCGGGCCTGCAGGCTGTGAGGAGGCCTGCTTTGCAGTGTCCCAGGGAGGAGTCATGGGCCTTTACACGAGAAACTCCTTCCATTTCCCACTGTGCAGTAACCTGGGAGCATTCACACAACCTTCCGGGAGGTCCAGGACTCCAGGTTCTGAGACACGTGGCCCCCATAGGTGTGGTGCTTACAGGACACACTGTAGCCTCCAGTGCTGCCCTGAGCCACCCACAAAGCTGAGATGAGTTTCTCTCCTACTGCCTGTCCCACCAGAGTCAAGGCCAGCAAGTGCCCACTGATGTCTGAGTGCCCATGTCACCTCTCCACTCCTGTGCACCCGGATGGGAGCTTGTCGGCACAGGTAAGTTGTGATCACTGGGCACTGGGCCCCGAGGATAGAGTCCTGTGCAGAATGTGTGGTCTGCGGTTCCCCCAAGCTGAGGTTAGGGCAGCATTCAGAATGGAGGCACTCTGTGCCAATGGGTGCTACCCACCTGGGAATGATGGTGGGTGGAGCACAGAAGAGAGACCCAGTCAGAGGCAGGAAGTGCTTCCCACCTGAGGGTGAGAGAGACAGATGGGTGCCAGAGTGGGAGCCCCCAGCACTGGAGCCCCACGGTCAGGTTATGGTGACGCAGATGCCCAGGGTAGGCTCTGAAGGGCCCAGGACATGCAGCGGGGGACAGTGCTGTGATAACGGATGCAGGGAAATTGTTAGCCATGGCAGAATCAGTGTGCTGTGTTAAAATAAAATGCTGAGGAAGGACTGTGTGTAGGACACAGGTGGGAATAGAGGTGTGTGTGGTCACGTGTGCACGTCTGTGGTGTGTGGTTGCATGTATGTGTGTGGTGTGTGGTTACGTGTGTGGTTGTGTGTGTGGTGTTTGGTTACGTGTGTGGTTGTGTGTGCTGTGTGTGTGGTGTGTGGTTACATGTATTTGTGTGTGAGTGGTGCGTGTTTGTTCCGTGGACCCTGTGTCGGTCCTTTACCAGAAAAGCCCAGCATGGCTGCTGGCTTTAGGGCCACCAATTTCTGTTCCTGCTCAGGGGTCGGCCTCTGTTGGTTTCTGCTGGGTCATTATGCATTATTTTTTAGAGATGGGATCTCACTCTGTCACCGGGATGGATTGCAGTGGTGGGATCAGGCTCATTACAGCCTCCACCTCCTGGCTTCATGCGATCTTCCCACCTCCGCCTCCCGAGTAGCTGAAACTACTGGAGTGGGCCACCAAACCCAGCTAATATGTTTTTTATTAAGAGATGGGGTCTCACTCTGTTGCCTAGTCTGGGTGGAACTCCTGGTCTCAAGCTTCCCTCAGACCTCAGCCTCCCATAACACTGGGATTACAGGCATGAGCCACCGTGCTGGGCTGTGGGGGTGGGGGGTCCTTTTGAGCAGGCTTCGTGAGGGGAGTCAGCTTCAGCTTCTGGGGGTTACCAGTGACTTCTTCCCTGTGGGGGCAGGGCCGCCTCACCACACTCCCCAGGACTTCAGGAAATGGGCTCCTGAGACTTGGAAATGAAAAGGGCTCAGTCCCGGCCCAGAGGGACAGTGGCGCTGGTGTCCAAGCCTTGCCCCTTGCCTGGACTTCCACTGAAGATTTGGAGACACACTCAGTGGAAACTGATGGAGCCCCCAGCCCGCCCCAGACTCAGCCACCAAATTTCCCTCCCTCTACGTGGTGCATGGGCTCAGGGGATTTCTCTGCCTGGGATTGTGTGGGCTACACAGCAAGACTGTCAAAAAAACTAACCGGCTGAGCGCAGTGGCTCATGCCTGTAATCTCAGCACTTTGGGAGGCCAAGGCTGGTGGATCACAAGGTCAGAAGATTGAGGCCATTCTGGGTAACACGGTGAAACCCCTGTCTCCACTAAAAAAAAATACAAAACATTAGGCAGGCGTGGTGGCACATGCCTGTAGTCCCAGCTACTTGGGAGGCTGAGACAGGAGAACTGGCAGGCAGAGTTTGCAGTGAGCTGAGATCGCAACCACTGCATTCCAGCCTGGGTGACAGAGTGAGACTCTACGTAAAAAATAAAATAATAACAATAATAATAATTACTCAAAGATGAATAATGCCAAAATTGGTGGAGAGGCAGGAGAACTGGAAGTCTCATCCTCCGCTCATGGAGATGACGATGCCTCCTCAGAAAGCAGTTTGGCAAACTTCAGATGCAGAGAATACATTTATCATATGGCCCAGCATGCCCTCTCCCAGGTTCTTACCCAAGGGCACTGAAAACCACATGTGTGCATGGAGCAGGTGTTTTCCTTTGCTAGGGCTTCCACAAGCAGGAGCCACACACGGGGCTGAAACTAGAAATGTAGGTCCTCACCCAGAGGCCGGAAGTCCCAGAGCACGGTGTCTGCGGGGTTGGTTTCTCCCAAGCCCTCTCTGCTTGGCTTGTAGATGGCCGCCTGCTCTCTGTGTCGTCCCACAGTCTTCCCTGTTTGTGTCTCTGTTGTAATCTCCCCTTATTACGAGGACAGCGGTCACTCTGGATGAGGGCTCACCCTAATATCCTCATCTAACATCAGTTTCCTCTTTCAAGACCCTGTCCCTGACACACAGTCACATTCTGAGGTTCTGGGTGTTGGGATGTCAACCTGTGAATTTGTAGGAGGACACAGTTCAGCCCATAATACGAGAATGGGGAGGAAGGGTGCTGTGCCACTGCTGAGATCCTATCCTGAAATCCGGCCCTCCTTGAAGTGCCGTTACTCAGAACTGACTAGCAGTGGACTCGAATTTTAAGTTCAATGTCATCAGTGTCTTTGCTCATTCTGTGAATTTTGCTTCACTTCCCCACAGGAAGGAGATGGTGCCCCAGGTCCATCTGCACTTGGGTAAGTTTGTGAGTTTAGTGGAATTATTCTATCTATCTGTAACATAGTTGTACACTCGTCTTAATTCAAATTACTTTGGAAAAATATGTCATCTTTTTACATCTTCAAACAAACTGATAATGCAGTAGAAAATCAAAATGTTTCACATAACATTTATACCCATTCATGTAGCTTATTGCACTTACTTGAAAATATTATACAATTCTTCATAACTAACATCTGAATTAATGCTCAAAAAGAAGATCAAGCATAATTATTTTCTAAGACTTTCTTTAAAAACATGCAGTGTTGTGAATCTGAATGTTTTTTAATGTTTCTAATAGTGTTTGCTGAGACTCAGATCTTACCATTTCACCTCTAAATATGTCCACTGGCGACAGCTCTGCCCCAGCACTGCACAAACCCAGCCCAACTGCACATGACTACAAAAGCTGAAAGGCGACCATTATAAAGGTCATGATCCGGTTTCAAGCACACATTTTAATGAATAACCTGTTCCCAGTTGAAATGAAACTGTGTGCAGCCATGACAAGTACACATTCTTCCCAGAGAACCTCAAGTCAGAATATGCTTCTCACAGAACTTAGAGTTACAGGAAATCTACTCATACATGATGGCGAGTAAATTATTAATCTGCTTCCTGTTCTATTTTCCTCTGCATATCATGAACACAGATTATCTCTGCATTTTAAAAGCTGCTTTATACAACATTTCCCAGGGTTCTGGGGTTCAGATTATTGCACTCCTACCCTCTCACTTGAGGAACTTTCATCTGGAGCCATTTACTACTATTTAGAATGAAGTGAACTTGAAAGATGGAAGTCATTGTCTCAAACCATCTCAGGTGCGCACGCACTCACACAGATACACACATACACTCACACACACACATTAATACACACACACAATCACACACCCACATACACACACTCACACATTCACACACACTCACACTGGCACAGCCTCCCTCCGGCCCTCACATCACATCCCAGTCCCTACCCTGCCTGCCATACACCCCTTGTCACTGCAGGGAGCCCCAGCTCATCTCACAGGGAAGCCCCACCCCAGCCTGTACAGAGCAACCCTGTCTCCACTCTGGGGACCCAGTAGCATCTGCTGTCCTGGCCCAGGACCTCTGGGGGACTCTGCCACTGTCCCAGTAGGCCATGCTGCTAAGAGGAGCCAGATGGCCAATCTGGGAAGGGCCCAGTGGATGTAAGCCCAGAAACGAGGTGGGCATTGCAGGAGGGTGTGTGAGGGACGCTCCTCATGCTGGGATGAAGGAGCACCCACACCCCGTGGCTCGGAGCTGCCTGGGGTTCCTCTGGATGCAGCTGTGACCCCAGACTGCTGAGGGCACCATCTGGCTCCCGGGCCTCCCCCTCAAGATCAGTGCACCCAGCTGACCTCATCCTCCCAACCCAGCTGCCCTGGGTCATGGAGCAGCATGCACCTGGGGAAGATTTAATCCCAACTCATTCTTACAGCTGACCGTCGCATCACACGCTCATTGTTCCAAGGTTGCACAGTGGTAGCAGTTCTTTAAGGAATCTCCATACTGTTTTCCACCGTGGTTGTACTAGGACCTTCCCACCTGCCGAGTAAATGTGTTTACTTTCCACCACACCCATGCCAACATCTATTTTTTTAAATTCTTTAAATTATAGCCATTCTTGCAGGAGTAAGTATTGAGGTTTTGATTTGCATTTCCCTGATAATTATTAACGTTGAGCATTTTTCTTATGTTTGTTAGCCATTTGTGTATCTTCTTTTGAGAATTGTCTATTTGTGTCCTTTGCCCACTTTTTGATGAGCCTTTTTTTTTTTTTTTTTTTAGACAGAGTCTCACTCTGTCACCCAAGCTGAAATGCTGTGGAAAGATCTTGGCTCACTGAAGCCTCTGCCTCCCAGGTTCAAGAGATTCTCCTCCCTCAGCCTCTTGAGTAGCTGGGATTACAGGTTCCCACCATCATACCTCGCTAATTTCTGTAGACAGGGTTTCACTATTTGGCCAGACTGGTCTCAAACTCTTGACATCAAGTGATCCCCCTGCCTCCACCTCCCAAAGGATGGTATTGCAGCCATGAGCCACCATGCGTGACTGCGTGAGTTTTTTTTTCTTGCTGATTTGTTTGAGTTCCTTTGTAGGTTCTGTATATTAGTCCATTGTCAGATGTATACATTCGTGAATACTTTCTTTCATTCTGTGGGTTGTCTGTTTACTCTGCTGATTATTCATTTTTCTGTACAGAAGCGTTTTAATTTAATTAAATCCCATCTACTTATCTTTGCTTTTGTTGCATTTGCTTTGGGATTCTTAGTCATGAACTCTTGGTCTAAGCCAGTGTCTAGAAGCATTTTCTGATGATATCTTGTAGATTTTTTATGGTTTCAGGTGTTAGATTTAATCTTTGATCCCTCTTGAGTTGACGTTTGTATAAGGCGAGAGATGAGGATCCAGCTTCCTTCTCCTGCAGGTGGATTGTGAATTATCCCGGCACCATTTGTTGAATAGGGTGTCCTTTCCCCACTTGATGTTTCTGTTTGTCAAAGATCAATAGGTAGTAAGTATTTGGCTTTATTTATGAGTTATCTATTCTGTTCCATTGACTACATGCTTATTTTTATATCAGTACCATGCTGTTTTGGTAACTCTAGCCTTGTAGTACAGGTTGAAGTCAGGTAATGTGATGCCTCCACATTTGTTCATTTTGATTAGTATTGCTTGCCTATGTAAAATCTTTTTTGGTTCCATATGAATTTTAGGATTGTTTTTCTAGTTCAGTAAAGTATGATGATGATATTTTACTGATGAAAATTGCATTGAATTTATAGATTGCTTTTGGCAGTAGTGGTCATTTTCACAATGTTGATTCTACCCATCCATGAGCATGGGATATGTTTCCATTTATTTGTATTGCCTATGATTTCTTTCAGCAGTATTTTGTAGTATTCTTGTAGCGATCTTTCACCTTTGGGTTAGGTATATACCTAAGATTTTTGTTGTTGTTGCTGCTTTTTTGTAGCTGTTGCAAAAGGGGTTGACATTCATTTGATTCTCAGCTTGGTCATTGTTGGCACATAGCAGTGTTACTGATTTGTGTACAGTGATTTTGTATCCGGACAAGTCTTTAGGGTTTTCCAGGTATATGATCATACTATTAGTGAACAGGGACAGTTTGACTTCCTGTTTACCAATTTGGATACTCTTTATTTGTTTCTCTTGTCTGATTGCTCAGGCTAGGAGTTCTGGTAGTATGTTGAATAGCAGTCGGTGAAAGTTGGCATCCTTGTCTTGTTCCAGTTCTCAGGGTCAATGCTTTCAACTTTTCCTCATTCAGTATAATGTTGGCTGTGGTTTTGTCATATAGGGCTTTGTTACCTTGAGGATATGTCCCTTCTGTGCTGATTTTCTTGAGTGTTTTACTTATAAAGGGATGCTGAATTTCGTGAAATGCTTTTTCTGCATCTATTTAGACAGTCTGTGATTTTTGTTTTTAATTCTATTTATGTGAGTTATCACATTAGTGACTTCCATATGTTAAACCATTCCTGCTTCCCTGATATGAAACCCACTTGACCGTGGTGCATTATCTTTTTGATATGCTGTTGGATTCTGTTGGCTAGTATTTTTTTTCTTATTTTTTTTAATTGCATTTTAGGTTTTGGGGTACATGTGAAGAACATGCAAGGTTGTTGCATAGGTACACACATGGCAGTATTTTGTTGAGAATTTTTGCATCAGTTTTCATGAGGGACATAGGTCTGTAGTTTTCTCTTATTGTTCATGCCCTTTCCTGATTTTGGTAGTAGGGTGCTACAGGCTTCATGAAATGATTTAGGGAGGATTCCCTCTTACTCTTTTTGAATAGTTTTAGTACAATTGGTACCAGTTCTTCTTTGGATGACCGATAAAATTCAGCTGTGAATTCGTCTTGAACTTTTTTTTGTTGATAATTTCTTTTACTACTGTCTCAATATCTCTACACCAAAATCTGTTAAAGTTTTTCTTTTTCTTCCTGATTTAATCCAAGAGCTTGTATATTTCCAGGAATGTATCCATCTCCTCTGGATTTTCTAGTTTGTGTGCATAATGGTGTTTATAGTAGCCTTAAATGATCCTTTGTATTTCTGTGGTGTCAGATGTAATATCTCTCGTTTCATTTCTAATTGAGCTTATTTAGATCTTCTCTCTTCTTGGTTAATCTTGCTAATTGTCTATCAATTTTGTCTTCTTGTAGAACTGGCTTTTTGTTTTGTTTATCTTTGTTTCAATTTCATTTAGCTCTGCTCTGATCTTTGTTATTTCTTTTCTTTTCTTTTTTTTTTTTTTTTTTTTTTTTTTTTGAGACAGAGTCTCCCTCTGTCACCAGGTGCCAGACTGGAGTGCAGTGGCGCAATCTCGGCTCACTGCAATCTCCGCCTCCTGGGTTCAAGCAATTCTCCCGCCTCAGCCTCCCAGATAGCTGAGACTATAGGCACATGCCACCACACCCAGCTAATTTTTTGTATTTTTAGTAGAGATGGGGTTTCACCATGTTGGCCAGGATGGTCTTGATCTCTTGACCTAGAGATCTGCCCACCTTGGCCTCCCAAAGTGCTGGGATTACAGGCTTGAGCCACTGCGCCCAGCCTGTTATTTCTTTTCTTCTGTTGTTTGGTTTTGGTTTGTTCTTGTTTCTTTAGTTCCTTGACGTGTGACCTTAGTTTGTTATTTGTGTTCTTTCAGAATTTTTGATGCAGGCATTTAATGCTATGAATATTCTTCTTAACATTGCTTTTGCTATGTCCTAGAGGTTTTGATAAATTTTGTCACTATTATCATACATTTCAAATAATTTTTAAATTTCCTTCATTCACAGTTGACCCGAAGATAATTCAGGAGCAGATTGTTTGATTTCCATGTATTTTTGTAGTTTTGAGGGTTCCTTTTGCAGTTAATTTCCAATTTTATTCCTCTGTGGTCTGAAAGCATACTTTATATAATTTCGATTTTCTTAAATTTATTTAGTCTTGTTTCGTGGCCTATAATATGATCTATCTTAGAGAATGTTTTATGCACTGATGAAAAGAATGTATATTCTGAAGTAGTTGGGTAAAATGTTCTGTAAATATCTGTCAAGTCCATTTGTTCTAGGGTGAGATTTAAGTCCGTTGTTTCTTTGTTGACTTTCTGTCTTGATGACCTGTCTAGTGGTGTCAGTTGAGTATTATGTCCCTCACTATTATTGTGTTGCCATCTATCTCATTGCTTATGTCTGGTTATAATTGTTTTATAAATTTGGGAGATCCTGTTTTAGGTGCATATATATTTAGGATTGTTATATTTTTCTGTTGAAGTGATTCTTTTATCATTATATAATGTTCCATTCTATATTTTAACTGTTATTGCTTTAAAGGCTTTTGTCTGATATAATAATAGTTCCTCCTGCTTGCTGTTGGTTTGCATTTGTATGGAATATCTTTTCCACCCCTTTACCTTGAGTTTATGTCAGTTATTATATATTAGGCAAGTCTCTTGAAGACAGTAGATACTTGGTTGGTGGATTTTTCTCCATTGCCATTCTGTATGTTCTAAGTGGATTATTTAGGCTGTTTACATTCATTATTGACATATGAGATGCTGTTTTATTCATCATGCTAGTTGTTGCCTTAATACCTTATTTTTTTTTCTTTGTGTTACTGTTTTGTAAGCTCATGAGATTTATGCTTTAAGAGTTCCTATTTTGGTGTATTTTGAGGTTTTGTTTTAAGACGTAGAACTCCTTTTAGCATTTCTTGTAGTACTGGCTTGGCAGTGGCTAGTTTTCTCAGCAGTTTGTTTGTCTGAAAAAGACTTTTATCTCTCCTTCATTTTTGAAGCTTAATTTTGCTGAGTTCAGAATTCTTGGCTGACAATTGTTTTGTTTGAGGAGGCTAACAATAGGACCCCAATCCCTTCTAGCTTGTAGAGTTTCTACTGGGAAGTCTGCTGCTAATCTGATAGGTTTTATTTTATATGGTTTTCATTATATATTTCCTTAAGAGCTTTTGCATCACAACTCTTAAGATTCTTTTATTTGTCTTGACTTTAGATAACCTGATGACTATGTGCCTGTGTGATGATCCTATTGCAATGAATTTCCCAAGTGTTCTTGGAGCTTCTTGGCTTTGTTTTTTTGTTTTGTTTTGTTTTGTTTGTTTGTTTGTTTTTGAGACAGAGTCTTGCTTTTTTGCCAGGCTGGAGTGCAGTGGCACAATCTCAACTCACGGCAACCTCTGCCTCCCAGGTTCAGGCAATTTTCCTGCATCAGCCTTCCAAGTAGTTGGGACTACAGGCACATGTCACCACGCCCAACTAATTTTTGCATTTTTGGTAGAGATGGGGTTTCACCATGTTGGCCAGGATGGTCTCTATCTCTTGATCTTGTGATCCACCTGCCTTGGCCTCCCAAAGTGCTGGGATTAAAGGCATGAGCCACAGCGCCCAACTGAGCTTCTTGTCTTTGGATATCTAGAACTCTAGCAAGGCTAGGGTAGTTTTCCTGTATTATTCCCTCAAATAAGTTTTCCAAATTTGTAGATTCCTCTTCTTTCTCAAGAACACTAATTATTCTTAGGGTCGGCTGTTTAACCAAATCCCAAATTTCTTGGATGCTTTTTATTTAAATTCTTCTTTCTTTCTCCTTGTCTGACTGGGTTCATTCAAAATCCATTTTTGAGTTCTGCAGTTCTTTATTCGAGTTGTTTGATTCTGCTGTTGAAACTTTCCAATGTATTTTGTATTTCTCTAAGCATATCTTTCATTTCCAGAAGCTATGACTGTTTTTTCTCTATGATCTTTTTTTCTGGAATACTTTTGATCTGTATCATTTACTGATTTTTATATTCCTTTAAGTTAGTTTTCTTCTTCCTCTGGTATCTCCTTGAGTAGCTTGATAGTCAACCTTCTGAATTCTTTATCCCCACAGTTCAGAGATTTTCTTCTTGGTTTGGACCCATTGCTGGGTAGCTACTGTGGTCTTCTGAGGGAGGTATAGAACCTTGTTTTTTAATATTACCAGAATTACTCTTCTGATTCTTTCTGATTTGTGTAGATTATTTCAGTGGGAAAATCTGGAGCTCAAGAGCCACTGGTCAGATTCTGTTGTCCATGGCATGGTCCCTTGATTGGTGCACTCTCCCTTCCTGTAGAGATGGGGCTTCCTGCAAACCAGACAGAAGTGATTGTTACTGTTCTTCTGGGTCTCTCCACCCATCAGAGCTACCAGGCTGGTGCTGGGGAATGTCTGCACAGAGTCCTATGATGTGATCCGCCTTTGGGTCTCCCAGCTGTGGGTGCCAGCACCTGCTCCAGTGGAGGGGGCAGGGGAGTGAAGTGGACTCTGTGGGGGTCCTGGGCTGTGGATAGGTTTACTGTGCTGACTTTCTCAAAGTCTGGTGATTCTAGCAGTGAAGCTGTCACATGGACAGACTCGGGACCTCTGGTTATTCCGGATGTTGCAGGAGGTAGAATCAGCTCTTGTTTTCCCCTTCCCAGGAGTAAGGGTTGTTCAGTCATGAGTTGCTATCATCTCCTGAGCTGGTTAGTATCCAGCCAGGAGGTGGCACTTTTGAGAGAGCAGCAGAGTTGTCCTCTGTCCTGTGGAATTCGCAGCAGGTGTGGCTTCTTCCGAAGGCTCTGTGATTTTTGTTTGTTTTCCCTGTTATACTTATGTGATGGTTCCTGGAGCAAAAGTCCACCGTGTGAGTCTCCACATGCTGTTCTGTCTGCCCCAGTGGGAGCTGCACATCAGACCTGATCCTATCTGCCATGAGCCATCTAAACATGGCTGGATGGGCACTGGTGGCTCGCACCTGTAGTCCTAGCACTTTTGGAGGATGAGGCAGGCCAGATCACCTGGGGTCAGGAATTCAAGACCAGCCTGGCCAGTATGGGGAAACTCCATCCCTGCTAAGAAAAAAAAAAATACAAAAATTAGCTTCAGGTGCCTATAATCCCAGGTCCTCTACTCAGGGGGCTGAGGCAGGGCAGGGGCTTGGACTGGGAGGCAGAGGTTGCTGTGAGTTGAGATCATGCCACTGCACTCCAGCCTGGGCAAAAAGAGTGAGACTCCAGAAAAAAAAAACAAAGACCACCATGGCTAAGGCACTGGTCTAGGGCAGGCCCACATGGGGGGAGGAGGCCTTGCTTTACAGTGTCCCAGTGGGAGGGCCCTTTACACGAGAAGCTCCTTCCGTTTCCCACTGTGCAGTGACCCAGGAGCACTCACACAACCTCCCGGGAGCTGCTGGTCTCCAGGTTCTGAGACACGTGCTCCCACTAGCAGTGGTGTTTACAGGACACACTGCAGCCCCCAGCACCATTCTGAGTCCCCCACAAAGCTGAGATGGGTTTTTCTCCTCCTGCCCGTCCCACTAGAAATCGAGGCCAACAAGTCGCTGCTGATGCCCAAGTGCACCTGTCACCTCTCCGCTCCTGTATCCCTGGACGGGGGCTCGTCGGCACAGGTAAGTTGTGGTCACCAGGCACTGGGCCCCGAGGACTGGGCCGTGTGCCAAATGTGTGGTCTGAGGTCTCCCCCAAGCTGAGGTTAGGGCAGCATTCAGAATGGAGGCACTCTGTCCAAGGGTGCTACCCATGTGGGAATGATGGTGGGTGGAGCACAGAAGAGAGATCCAGTGAGAGGCAGGAACGCTTTCCAGCGGAGGGTGAGAGAGACAAACAGGTTCCAAGGCCGGGAGCCCCCAGCACTGGAGCCCCACAGTCAGGCTGCAGTGACGCAGATGCCCAGGGCAGGCTCTGAAGGGCCCAGGACACGCAGCGGGGGACAGTGCTGTGATAAAGGATGGAGAGAAATTGTTAACCATGGCAGAATCAATGTGCCATATTTTAAAAATAAAATGCTGAGGAAGGACTGTGTGTAGGAGTCAGATGGGAATAGAGATGCGTCAGTTGCCTCGTTCAAGACCCTGCCTCCACATACAACACATTCTATGATACTGGGTGTTGGGATGTCAACCTCTGAATTTGGAGGACAGGGTTCAGCCCGTAATACAAGCCTGGGGAGGAAGGGTGCTGTGCCACCACTTAAATCCCATCCTGAGATCCAGCCATCCTTGAAGTACCATTACTCAGAACTGACTAGCAATGAGTTTGAATTTTAAGAGTAAGTTTAATGTCAGCAATGTCATTTTTCGTCCCGTGAATTTTGCTTCACTTCCCCACAGGAAGCAGATGGTGCCTGGAGTCCATCTCCATGTGGGTAAGTTTGTGAGCTTCGTGGGAATGTTCTGTCTGTAACATAGTTGTACACTTGTCTTAAATTACTTGAGGAAATATATCGTCTATTTAACATGTTCAAATAAACTGATAACATAATGGAAAATAAAAACGTTTCATTTAACATTTGTAGGTGTTCATGTAGCTTGTTGCACTGATTTTACTTGAAAACATTATAGAATTCTTTATAACTAACATCTGAATTCATGAACAAAAATAAGGCCAAGCATAGTTATTTTCCAAGACTTTCTTTAAACACATGTAATGTTGTGAGTCTGAATGTTTTTTAATGTTTCTAATAGTGTTTCGTTGAGAGTCAGGTCTTATCATTTCACCTTTGAATACGTCCACTGATGACAGGTCTGCCCCAGCACCGCACAAATCCAACCCAACTGCCTATGACTTTTTTTACCCTCCAAACTACAAAAGCTGCCTGGTCCAGTTTTAAGCACACATTTTAAAGGGCACCCTGTTCCCATGATACAATAAAGTTGTGTGCAGCCGTAACAAGTACGTATTCTTTCCAGAGAACCTCAAGTACAGGATGCGCCTCTCACAGAACATGGAGTCACAGGAGACCTACTCGTGCATGATGGTGAGTCAGTTAGTTACTCTTGGTTCACTCTTTCGTTTTTCTTTCCATAACATGAACACATATTAACTCTATATTTTACAAAGCAACTTTGTACAACGCTTCCCAGGGTTTCAGGGTTTGGATGTTGCATTCCTACCCTCTGCAATAAATTTCATCTAGAACCATTTAATACAATCTCAAGTAAAATGGAATGGGAAAGTAAGAGTCCTTGACTCGAACCACCCCTGGGATGCAGACACAGGCACGCACCACACACGTGTACGCACACTGTCTCGCACAGTCACACGCATGGTCTCACACACACACACACACACACTCACACTGGCACAGCCTCCCTCCTGCCCTCACATCACGTCCTGGTCCCCACCCAGCCTGCCATAGTGGCCCCGTGACTTCATGGAGTCCCCTGTGGTCCCACAGGGGAAGCACGTGCCCCAGCCTGCACAGAATGGCCCTGACCTCCACTCTGGGCACCCAGCAGCTGCAGCTGTCCTGGCTCAGGACCTCTGGGGTCTCTGCCACCATCCCAGTAGGTCATGCTGCCGAGGGTGGCTGGACAGCCAAACCGGGGAGGTCCCAGTGGACATAAGCCCAGAGACAGAGCCGACATTATTTGAAGAGGGTGTGGGAGGGAGGCTCCTCGTGCTGGAGAGAAGGAGCCCCCACACCCTGTGGCTCAGAGCTGCCTGGGGTTCCTCTAGAGGCACCTGTGACCCCAGACTGCTGAGGGCACCACATGGCTCCCAGGTCTCCCCCTCACAGATCAGTGCACCCAGCTGGCTTCATCCTCCCAACCCAGCTGCCCTGGGTCGGGGAGCAACATTTATTTTTGTTTATTTTTTGAGACAGAATCTTACGCTGTCATCCAGGCTGCAGTGCAGTGGCGTGATCTCCGCCCACTACAACCTTTGCCACTTGGGTTTTAGCCATTCTCCCACCTCAGCCTCCCAAGTAGCTGGGACCAGAGGCTCAGGCCACCATGCTGGGCTTTCACCAGTGTTGCCCAGGCTGGTCTCGAACTCCTAGGCTCAAGCAATTTGCCCACCTCAGCCTCCTAAAGTGCTGAGACTACAGACATGAGCCGCTGTGTCTGGCCATGGAACCACGTTTAGCTGGGGGAGAAGTTGATACCTAACTTATGCTTAGAACTTACAGCCTTATCACGTGCTCACTGTATCAGTTTGAATACAATAGTACATAAGTAAAAAATATTCTGCCGCCCCCTTTCTGAATACCACCTCAAAACGCCATTTTAATCATAGAGGGTGAATACACGTTTGCAAAATTGCAAAACCTATGCATACACAATTATATTCACTCACACTGAGAGGTTAACGAATACCATATGAATTATTCTGCAGCTTCCTTTTTGATTTCTTCCACAGTATGGCAGGGATGACGCTCATGACACTTCACACAGATGTGCTTTCTTCTCGTCAGGAGCTTCATCCTCTTCCATGATGAGCATATACCACGGCTCAGTCAGCCATTGCTCACTAAGGGATGTTAAGTTTATGACCGAGTTTGGGTTTGAGCGCCTTTGTGCCCACATTGTCAGGTACAAACAATGTTGTTCTGTTTCTGTACAACACTTGAAAGTCAAAGGGCATTTGTGTTTTAAGTCTTCATAGTTTCTTTTTGATTACCAAAAGGTTTGAAGAGTGAAAATCTCCTTCAGTTTCCTCACTCTTTTCAGCACCAGATAGTAACAGGGTACTTTTAGTTTTATCTAAATAACACATTTAATTGTTTCAATGCACATTTTCCTTATTACTAATGAGACTGGACATAATGTCGTTTTTTTTTTTGAGACGGAGTTTCGCTCTTGTTACGCAGGCTGGAGTGCAATGGCGCGATCTCGGCTCACCGCAACCTCCGCCTCCTGGGTTCAGGCGAATTCTCCTGCCTCAGCCTCCTGAGTAGCTGGGATTACAGGCACACGCATAATGTCGTTTTTTACCATTTCACAGTTCTTCTTGTGTGAATTAGCTTTTCAAATTTTGTGCACTTTTAAATGGTGTTGTTTGATTATCAATATTAAGCGGTCTTTGCACATTAGGGATAATAATTCCCTGATCTGTGTGTTTCAAACACTTCTTTCAGTCTGTCTTTTAAAAATGTGTGTTTATCATGTCTTTTGCAATGCGAAGGTCATAAATTTTTCTGAAGTCCAAGTTGTCAAATGTCCCTGTCTTGCTTTAAAAAGCCTTCTCACACCAGGGTTACACAAAAATCATCAAAACTCTTTGTTGATGTTTTCATAATTTTTCTCTTTCGGTTTTCCTTATATTTTGATTTTCAAGCCATCTTTTTTTTTTTTTTTTTTTTTTTTTTTTTGAGACGGAGTTTCGCTCTTGTTACGCAGGCTGGAGTGCAATGGCGCGATCTCGGCTCACCGCAACCTCCGCCTCCTGGGTTCAGGCAATTCTCCTGCCTCAGCCTCCTGAGTAGCTGGGATTACAGACACGCGCCACCATGCCCAGCTAGTTTTTTGTATTTTTAGTAGAGACGGGGTTTCACCATGTTGACCGGATGGTCTCGATCTCTCGACCTCGTGATCCACCCGCCTCAGCCTCCCAAAGTGCTGGGATTACAGGCTTGAGCCACCGCGCCCGGCTTAAGTGATTCAAGCCATCTTGAACTTACTTTTGCATACACGGAGAGAGCCAACGTTACTTTATCTCAAAGGCTTGACTAATGGTCACCGCCTCACCTATGAAATAATACACCCTTCCCCATCTAATCCAAAGCCCCCTTTTCTAATGCTTCCCGTAAGCACTGGACTCAGATCTGTTTCTCCACGTTTATTCCCGTCTCGTCGACCCGCCAGCAAGCATCTGGAGTGCTCTCCATGTGTGTGGCATGCCAGGGGGTGTCTGTGGTGTCTACACTTCCGAGCACTCACACAGCCTCCCAGGAGCAGCGTCCCCGGGCTCCTGCTGACACGCGGGAACCACGGTCCTGGTGCTTGTCCAGCACTTTGCGGCCCTCAGTGGCCTGTTGTGAGCTCCTCCCCACAGCGAGACCCTGCGTTGCTGGCCCGTGTCCTTCCTCCTGTGCTTCCAGCAGAGAGGATCAGGAGCAGCTCCTGTCTCCCTCCCAGGGCTTAAGCCTGAGCCCCGCCGCTGTTGGCGTCTGGAGAGGACCTGGTGGCCTGGGGTACACCCCGAGCCGCGGGCCTCTTCCCTCCACGGAGCACGTCTTCCTGCACAGTGGGGGTGACAGCGGTGTTCCCAGTTGCTCGTTTGACTAAATGTGAGTGTGCATAGGTGTTTGTCTGTTCAGCCTGCTTCAGTAGAAATGCCACATGCCTAGGCTCCATCTTTGACCATCAGTTACACACACGCACACGCACACACACGCACACACGCCTGCACACACATGCACCATCTTTAATCCCCACCTGTCCCCTACGAGCACCATTGTCCCAACATTTTATTAAAATTTCAAACATAAACAAGACTGGAAAGGGCTTTACAGACACACACACACACAAAGAAACCTCAACCCTGGGACTTGGCCGCAGATACTTATCTCTCCCCATTCCCGAGCCTGGGAGGTCCAAGGTCACGGCGCCGGCAGCCCCGGTGTCTGGCGAGGGCCACATCCTGGTTCCCAGGTGGCCTCCGCTGGTTGTCCTCACAGGGCAGGGCGTGGAGCGTGAGATCAGACTCGCGTGCCTGTTCTCGTAGAGGCAGTCACACATCCTGCCATGGGGACCCCACTCGGCTGACACCAAAGGCTCCACTTTATTTAGGACGTGCCACCCTGGGGTTAGGACTGGAGCATGTGAATCTGGGGGGCACAGGCACTGCGTGTACGTGAAGGGTCCCGAAGGGTGCTTCTGCGCCCCCAGCAACAAAGGGGTGTGGAGTACAAGGGAACGTCAGGGACTGAGAATATTTCCAACTGTGAAGCGTGTGTGTCCGTGTGTGTGTGTCTGTGTGTGTGTCTGTGTGTCCGTGTGTGTGTGCGTCTGTGTGTGTGTGTGTCCGTGTGTGTGTGTCCGTGTGTGTGTCCGTGTGTGTGTGTCCGTGTGTGTGTCCGTGTGTGTGTCCGTGTGTGTGTGTCTGTGTGTGTGTGTCCGTGTGTGTGTCTGTGTGTCTGTGTGTGTGTGTCTGTGTGTCTGTCTGTGTGTGTGTGTCTGTGTGTGTCCGTGTGTGTGTGTGTGTCCGTGTGTGTGTGTCTGTGTGTGTGTGCGTCTGTGTGTGTGTCTGTGTGTGTGTGTGTCTGTGTGTGTGTCCGTGTGTGTGTGTCTGTGTGTGTGTGTCTGTGTGTCTGTGTGTGTGTCTGTGTGTGTGTGTCCGTGTGTGTGTGTCTGTGTGTGTGTCCGTGTGTGTGTGTCTGTGTGTGTGTCTGTGTGTGTGTCTGTCTGTGTGTGTCTGTGTGTATGTGTCTGTGTGTCTGTGTCTGTGTCTGTGTGTCCGTGTGTGTGTCTGTGCGTCTGTGTGTGTGTGTGTCTGTGTGTGAGAGAGAGAGAGCAGACAGAACACAAAATCAGGTGCTGCTGTGGCAGAAGTGCTGTCTGTGTCTCGGTGAGGTGTGCAGATGTCTGCAATGCAGCAGACCGCAGAGCAGTGGGGAGACAGTCCTGTGACGGGGCCGGGGACAGTCCTGTGATGGGATGGGGGACAGTCCTGTGACGGGGCGGGGGACAGACCTGTGACAGGGCGGGGGACAGACCTGTGACGGGGCAGGGGGACAGACCTGTGACAGGGCGGGGGACAGACCTGTGACGGGGCAGGGGGACAGACCTGTGACGGGGCGGGGGACAGTCCTGTGATGGGACGGGGGACAGTCCTGTGACAGGGCGGGGGACAGACCTGTGACGGGGCAGGGGACAGTCCTGTGATGGGACGGGGGACAGTCCTGTGACAGGGCGGGGGACCTGTGACGGGGCGGTGGACAGTCCTGTGACGGGGCGGGGGACAGTCCTGTGACGGGGCGGGGGACAAACCTGTGACGGGGCGGGGACAGTCCTGTGACGGGGGGGGACAGAC